GATTTTATTTATATTTACCAAACTGATTTGGGAAATTGACGTTTTTGAAAGGTCAAAAGATGTTTTGATCTTTTTATGATTGTTGTCATTGTTGATGTAAATGAGGAACAAGTACTGCTGGTAACAGAATGGTAGGAGAAAAAAGTGTTTTTTAAATAGAACATTAAAAAATGTCTTGACGGTGTTTTTTTCTTCAACTTTCAGCAACGTGTGCTGTTTGGTTACAACAATACAGAACTTTGGGATCAATTTAGTTGAATTTGACCATGTGATAAACAGAAATTTTGAAACTTATAAGGTCTTATTATTTGTGGAAATTCAAAAAATAATGAAGGCATTGTGCTGATTGAGCATCTGTATTTCATGTGCAATAATTGTAGGTATATTTTTGGGATCTTTTATAATCCAAATATCTACAGTAGTTCTGTGAATCATATGCAGTGATAAAACGTTGTTGGGACAAATGTCTGGAACAACTGCTTCTCAAATTGGCATTTCAATGAGCAATGATACAGCCGGTTGGCAAAGTTTGTTTGTTGAAGATTTAAAAAAAATCTGAATCGGGGTTCCGCTAACTACTCATGTTTAGTAATGTTTGTAGTTAAAAATCCAACAACGAAATTTGAAAGTCAAAAAACATCATTCCTTTTCTATCGCTTCAATCGAATGCTTTTTATAACTTTTTATTTTTCGATAATGTCTAATTTTAGTCTGAATCTACCTCATCATTTTTAACACAGAACATCACAGAAGCCTATTGCTTACCAGTGATGTATCAATCAAGTGTTTACTGTAAAGTGCAGCTAACAGATTATATTCATATAGTTGCTTAGTTGAGGAAGAAATTATTATATTTGAAAATCCTTTTAAATTCATTGATTTAATGCAATTTTTTAGATAGATTTTTTTTTCTTTAAAATTTGAAAATTTTAGCCCATGCCTTCAGAAATGATCTTTTTTTACCTTTAAGAAAGCCACAATGCCATCTGCCTATCCTTTTACCAAAGGAATTGAAATTTTTTTTGTTTACAACGTGAACAGCAGTTTTTGCGCAATAAAAATAACTATTTATTTAGATTTGTTTTTCTTACAAGGGAAAATTATTTTAAGGAAGTTAAGCATCGCAATCGGTTAAAATTTTTATATGTAAAACAAATGATACCACCATTTATGTACCTTAATTGACATTTCTGTTGGCAGGGAATAAATTTTAGGAAAGAACTTTTTAATGGCGTACAAACCACAGTTTGTTTGTGCAGTCACTGAGTTGAACAGCTTTGTTGAACCCGCTTTGTTGCTGACAATTGCCCAGCTATCTTCAAACATTTTTGAAGTATTCCACTGCTATAATTTTAAAGCGATTATGATTTGGAAAAACCGAATTGTTGGACGGCAATTTTAATAATGTTTAAGAAGAAGAATTTTTTCCTGCTGCAATTTTGCAGGTAATGCCCAGAATTGTGATACTGCTCCAGAGCAGTATAGGTTAAAAAAATATTTGTTGGAAAATGTGTATAAATCAAGAAAATCACTGTAAAAGAGATTACCGGATCAGCCTGGTGAAAATATGGAAAAACAGCAGCCTATACCAGCTATAAAATTTGCATTTAAAACCTGTTTAGCAGAAAAAAAATAACATATTTGCACTGTTCTTTTTATGTACAATACCACCAACAAACAAAATTACAGGTTTACTCTAAAATAAGCTTAAATGTAGTTAGATTGATATTAGACTTTGTTAGATAGCGCTGCATTTTGAATGCTACTCAGCTGCTGCCAGTGTGGCTTCTGTTATACAATGAAATAAATTAAAATTCAGCTGTGCATGGAAATGCGGACGAAAAAACTGTAGGAAAGTTTTTTCTTAATAGACAGCCAAAGCATTAGAATCAGGAGATCCGAAAGTTAGCCACAAGCTTCTCAGAACTGTGCTAAACATGTATTGAGCTGGCGACACGTTCATTTGAATTACCAGGAGTACAATAATGTGGTGATTTAAAAAGTCATGTTTAAACGTACCGTCATGCACAATGTCATTCCTTGAAGTAGATAAATTAAAGAACGCGAACTACATTCACGTCTACAAAATGATATGCTTTTAAAAGCAACTCATTAGTTTTACAATGTCCTGGCAAAAAATTGTTGCAGTAACCTGAACTGAAGCTCTAGCTTTAGTTTTTCACCAGTGGAAATCGAATGCGTATAAAAACTGAATATATTTCCCTTTTATCCGTCTGATGCCCTGCATTGAGAAAAATCAGTTCAACAAGAAAATTACGAAGAAGATATGTGCGTTAAATTGTAAACAAGGAAGACGAGCAAACATAAATTCGAGAAAGCATCTAAAAAGTTGTGTTTGAAAGATTACCTACGAATATTTGGGCCAATACAAGTGCAAAAATTTTTTTGATTCCTTTTCTCCAATCAATTTTTCGTGCTCGCCTAGAAGTCTTAATTTTCCACTGCTTTTGATTACGACTTCTGATGTAGAAGAAAGACAAAGGAGAAGGAAATAAAGTTGTAAAAACAGCAAAAAACTATAACGAAAAAATGGACGGGCGACCCAAAATAGCCAATGATATACATGCGGGCTGATAAAAGTTTAGTCATAAGAAAGGCGTGAAAATATATAGGTACTGCGCTGTTTGATTCACAAATTTTTTTTTTTT